TATATATATATATATATATATTTAAACATTTCAAATAAATACAGTTTTTAAACTTTGTTCATCAAAGAATATTTTTTTACTTTTTATTCATGTGTTTATTAATTTTTTATTATATTTATTTCCTTTTACTTTTCCATGTGCAACATGGACATAAGGGAGGCGCTACTTGCGGAGCTCCGGTGAATCATTGGTTGAGAGCTCACACGGAAGCATCAGATCAAAATAACGATAGAGATCGGAGTTTGCTACGGGATGTCAGATCAACAGAAGAGTTGCAAGATATTTTCACAGATTCACATTATGTTGAATTATTTTATAGTGACTGAATTCAGTTACTTACCCTCGTAGTTTTGTCATTAAGCCCGGAACCATCAACGTCGTTGATGAGTTTCTAGGTTGATGACACCTCTAGACACACTCATTGGAGGTTTCTAAGGTTTGTGTTCATTTTGTAATCACTGAGAAAAGACTCCCAAAAGCATTGTGAGCCTAAGTTTATTGTAAACCAGTTGCATCAAAGGTTTGGAAATGTGACCCACTGGCATAAAGTTGGCTTGATGTTGGACGTTCGATATTCGCAAGTTTCGCAATGATTCAACGGAGCTCCGCAAGGACTGCCTCCCTCATTTCCATGTTGCACAATAAATGAATAAATAAACCTGGAAATAAATACATGTGGGAATAAATTAAAAAATAAATATATAAATAAACGCATGAATAAATACATTTAAAAATAAACAAATAAATAATAAATCAATAAATTAAATAAATATAAAAATAAATGAGAGAATAAGTAAATAAAAGTTAAAAAGAATAAAAATAAATAAATGCATAAAATAATAATACATCAAGGAAAAATACATCAAGGAAAAAAGTAGTAAAAAATAAATTCAGGGTTAAATTTTATTACAAATGAACTGTATTTGTTTTTATCAAGCCATTTCTTTATTTATTTTACTGTTATTTTATTTATTAATTTATCTATATATTTGTTTATTTATTTTTAATTTCTGCAGGTTTGGTCCTCTATAACAGTCCTTAGTGCAATCCTGCCATGTAACTCCCATATGAATTAATTGAAAAGGCCCACTCACTTTTTGCTAGTGGCTTCATACAGTTACAGAGAGCAATTCTTTGAGTGTGTTGGAGAGAGATGGAGACACGGATTGTGTGAAAATGCACAGCTAATGCAGTTCTGGAGATACATGTTTTTCTAATCTATCTCATGCCCAGTTCTTAACCCCAGCTATGAAATAATAATGAAACTGAAATAGTGAAACTCCTCTGGGTATGCTGCTCTTTTTAAACACGCCAAACTTCTGCCATCTGTTGTTGCAATCACGTTCTTTATTTCCATATTTATTCTGGCATTTTAGCATACGTCCTGAAATCAGTCTGACCCACTTCCCACTGTTTTGAGAATTTTAAAGAGCTGTAGTCTGTCTCTCCTTGACTGTGATATTCATGTGAGTTCTGCATTGTCTTCCTTCTATAAAATAGCACAATGAAACATCTATTTGCATCTTTAAATCTATTTTGAATAGGCCTAATTCTGCTGATTTTTGTCCCTAAAAAAATGCTCATTAGGATTCATCCAAGCTGCTGGCATTTAATTCTAGCATTTAATACAATTTATAATATTAGCCTCTCAAATTTCTCTGAATAGTTACATGTAAATTTTGTTTATACTAATAACACTCTTAAATCTGTGGCTGTTATGAGGAATCTGGGGTGTCTCAGCAGGTGTGTCAGAAATGACGAATTCTTTCCTGTAACTATCAGCCGTGTAAAATGGGGCTGATGGAGCGTCTCTGAATAAACTCTTGCATTAGGCACTGATTAAAGTCCAGGGTAAATGTGATGGTTTCTTTCATTTCGGAGAGATTTACTACCGCAACTCTGGCTTGGCAGTTTCCGCTATTCGAAAATAAAGTAATCCATCAATTAGTCAGCAGCTCTATCAAAGCCACGATATTACGCACCAAATTGCCTCGAATGATGAACAGTTGTAATTTATGAACAAACCCGAGACCAGGCGGCAGACTGAGAAAGAGAGAGATTGCTGGGCTGAAATATTCAGATTGTTATTATAATTTTTTTAAGCTGTTGTTTTTAAATAATCAGTAATGTTAACAGTAGTAAATGGCTTGCTTGGGTGTAATAAACATGGATCGTTATTTATTTAATAACTCCCTGATGAAGTGTGTGCTTAAAATTTACCCAGTGAGCAACCACATATTCTCAATGTCTGAATCATATGCTAAAAGACAGCTGGTGGCTTTGAAAGAGGAAGGAGTATAAAACATGTTAGCCTGATGAAAGGAATAGTCCTTCAGTCCATCAGTTAATATCTTGTGAAGCAAAAAAGCTGTGTGTTTGTAGGAAACAAATCTCTTAAAGGGAACATCGGATGCCCACTTTCCACAAGCTGCTAGTATTCTTTAGGGTCTTCATGAAATTTCTGCAACATACTTTGGTTAAAATTCCTCAGTGGTCATGT